TAAAGTTACTTTTTACATAAATAAATATATATATATATATATATATATATATATATATATTATGCTGCTGTGTTTAGAGTATGTTTTGTTTAGTTATGTTGATATATTTTGCTTTGCTTTTCTTCAGTAAAAAATGTACACTGCATTCATTATGTTCCTACATTTTTGAATCCTTCCTCAATAAAACATGTTTCACAGTATATTTATATATGATGTGGTTTATATGATATGCTGCAGGACTATATGGCCCAGTAAAAACAGAATTATATCATAAGCTAAGGCTTTTTGTGTCTTGAGATAACTTTTGTTATGAATTGGTGCAATACAAACAAAACTGAATTGAGTTTAAAACATTTTAATTGAATTTTTCAACATTCTTATTCAGTGCTTTAAGTAGTATTGGAGTATTATTCGACCATGGGAGGCCTAATTGTACTTTTCTATAAGGAATCTGAGTACTTTCCCATCACTAGATAGACTGTAGATAGTATAAAGTAGTAATAAACCAAACTTTTGCTCAATTTAATGCACTATTTTTTGCTGCTACATTCTCGTGGTCTGGTATTATCAGTAGCCTGAAGTGAGTATTGTTAATGTCAGTATAAATTTATTCAAATAGTTTGCTGCTACCAATAGGTTTTTGGGGGTTACCAAAGCAATTCCTATCAAAAAACCTTAAGGTCTATGGTACTGATGATTTCCAGTTCAAGATATTTAATGTCTCACCCCAAAAACATGCATCCCTGGAAGAAAGGGTGTTATAAGATTGTGACTTTTGGTGAGGAGTATAGGTAGAGGGAGTACAATGCAAACTATACATTTTTATTTAGCAATCATGTGCGGGCTATATTGTCCATTCATTCTTCTCTATAAAATCTTGGTATTTTCTCTATATATACATACAAAACAAACATGGATAACTGTATAAATGACTGTAAAAAGACCATAAACAACATAAAAATTACAGACAATACAGAAACATACACATAAAGGTCAAAGTCAATGTTAGCCCAAATATACTATATATACTAAATGGTTATCTAGGAGTACCAGTTAAAGTAAAAGCAGTTTTAATGCATACAAAATGGTTCTCTTCTTGAAAGAAATGTGGAGCTAAATGCAGTCTATGTGGAAGTTGTTGCATTAATAGTGCAATTTAATGAAAAATTAATTAAAGGTTGTGAATCATTCCCTCACATCTGTTTTCGTTTTAGATATACTACACTTTATTTGCCATTTGTAGGCATACAACAAATATTGTTTGGTAACTTTCAGCAGCAATAAAAACAAGATAAATTACCAATACAATCTAGTATCTAGAGTAATTTAGTATTAAAGCCACACGGATGAGCAGGTAAAGTAGTATTAAAAAAATACATAAAATATATTGCAACTCAATGCAACTTCCTTATCCCCATCACAATCAATCAAAACAGCAACATGAGAAGCAACACAAGAGTTTTGAGTGGAACAAAGCTCCGTTTACAGGAAAAACCATAAATGTCCGACAACCATCAAATCAACAATCCCTGGTGGCTCACGTTGCTTCTCGCGTTGCTACCGCTGGTGGTCAGCACTGAGTCCTCCTGCTTCTTCATCAAGAGCCACAGACCAACTTGTCAGGCATATTTATGTGATTCCCAGGGGCGATTACTGTCGAACATGTTTTGAATAATCACATCTAGAAATGGAAGAGAGAGACATGTTTCAACTGCTGTATGTTGTTCAGATAAGACTGCAAACCAAAGAGGACGGTGTGCTATTTGTTTTTTTGTTTTTTTGCTTTTTCCACCAGTGCCCCTGAGGTTTCACTGCAATTTCTCTGGCATTTGTTATTGCAGATGTTTATTGTGGTAATAGGGCACAGTGAAAATGACTGGCTGCGTGTAATCTTGGTAAGCTACCAGGCCTGATTCCCACATGTTTCTTAAATGAAGCTCAATCAGTAAGATCAGCCCAATCAGCAGTCCCGCAGGGTGTGAAACCAGCAGTTGGTTGTGGCTGATGGCAAATGAGGTTGGTAAGGGATGAGGGTATATTTTCACTTTGAGTGGTTTGGGTTGATGATGTGATGTGTGTTTAGTCAGGCTGTAATTGCCTGTGTGCTTATCCACAGTTTCAGCTTCCATGATTTCCCAGTCGGGTTTGGATCTCTAAAGGCCTGCGCTCATCCTCCTCCTGAAACCTAATTTATACTTTATCTCAGGTAGTTTTAAGGAAGGCCAGGTGTTCAAGATGTTCAGATACGCACTTTAAAACTGTTTCAGTATGTAAGAAGTGGCTCTCTTTTGGTCGTTTAAGTCACTTTTATCACTTTCTGATGAGTCACTCTTTATAAAGGGTTTATAATAACAATAATTGTTATAAATGGTTGGTTATCCGTTAATAAATTCTTGTGGGTTTTATACTTTCTTGTTCCTGCCTCTTGGCCAGGTCATTGTTGTAAACGAGAATTGGTTTTCAATTAATTTACCCGCTTAAATTAAGGTAAAATAAAATAAAAAATAATCAATCAAGTCTGCAGTTATTAACCTCCACAGGTTTTTCCAGAGGTTAAGCAGTATGTTTCACAACCTGGCAACCCAAAAGTTGACTTGAGTTAATGACTTGAAGCTTGTAGCTGACTTGTAGATCTATAAAGCACTGACTTATAAACCACTAATAAAGCATTAGTCTCAACTTACAATTTACAAAGCCTTTATAAAGGGTGACGCATTAGAAAATGGTACCAAATCTTTTTGTTTTTATTTTTGAAGCTACAAAGCAAAACATTTGCTGGTGCCAACTTCTTCAAATAAGAGGAAAACTCACTCCAAACCACACATTTCTTTAAATAGACATTTCAATCCAGTCAGATTCCCTTTTTGTCTGACACAAGGAAGATCCAACTGAGATTGAAACATTCCTCTTTTTATTGATGGAGTTTCCCCTATAGCCTTTCACTTACTTGTGATGCTCCTTCTATTCCACCTTCTAAAATGTAAGGATATACTGCATTTCTGTGCTGTATATTATTGTAAGAATAGATTTGGGTTTTGGTTTGACATTTTATAACATTTTTGATCAATAATGAAAATGTCCTTTCGTCACTGGCTGATACTAACATTAAAGATTATGTTTTTGGCATTTTGCCTTCTTTGGACAGCCTGCAGCCAAGACCGGATTGCCGCTTGAGGGAACTCCAGGTTTACAGTAGGTCAGCTGGTTTGTTCTGGGAATATGCACAACTAATATTAACTGATATGATTAAGTCTTGAAGAGGATCAGTTTGGTTAGACTTTCATTATTACAGCTTTGTCCTTATATGTTGCATACTCCTAAATTAATTAGTTTAATCAAATTAAACACGGCAAATCCAGGGCCAGGTAGTATCGGGGTTAATATGGACCCAGCAGCTAATTTTTGCTCCAGGTCCCCATAAGATTAATCCTCCCATGCTTACAGTGTAGATATAGACAGGAAATGTGGACAAAGAGAGTGAGAGAGAGAGAGAGAGAGAGAAGTAATGATTATTTGGTGTATAAAAAGTCTCGAAGTAGTGACTAATGCCACTTACACAATTTCCCAGACAAGTGACGTCTTCAGATTATTAGTTTTATTCAACAGTTTCAAACTCAAATATGTATTATTAACCTTTATATAAGATGGAAAAAAGCAGAAAATCTTACATTTGAGAAGCTGGAACCAAAGAATTTGGCATTTTTTGCCTGATGGCTAAAAATAATTATTCAATCAGTATTGAACTATTCTTATCAGTGAATCGACTTATTGTTTCTCCTTTCCTTTCCCCCCCACATCTGGTCCCATCGCAACACTAAACCCTTCTGTTCTTTCCCCTGTCCTCTCGCCCACGTCCACCACATCTCCTCTGGGCTCACCACACAGCCTTGTGGCGACCACATGTGCATCACCGAATCTTGAATTTACAATCCCATCACGTGAATTAACTACATTTGTCGAATAACAAAAACTCCCGCTTGGCCCAGTCTGGGTTTTGGACTATTTGCACTTTGACAGAAGACATTATTTTTTTTCCCCTCTGTCCCTTCCCTTCCTACGATTATCCCAGCACGACTGGAGCTGAGCGGGTGAGGGCGACCAGCATGTGTGAGTCGGTTCTCAGTCTTGAATAATTCAGCCTGCTTATTTACATGTTCTTTACTTACACTGAAGCAGCATCTGCCTGTCACACTGCTGTTAAACACACTCATGATTATGACTTCTGCCTCGCCCCTGGCATTACCCAGTTGTATTAAATACTGGATTTTGGTGAGAGTGCGTGTGTGTGTGTGTGTCTCGCTGTGTTTGTAAGACAGAGAGAAAGCAACTGAGAATATTAATTCTGTGTGTTTGTGAGTGTTAACTCGTGTGTGTTTACGGCGGTACATTGGCATGTGTATGTGTGTGTTTTGCTCCCACCATGCGCAGTGTCATTATGAGCGCCGTTACTTAAAGAAGATGGATGTCACAGAGTGTGTTGCCCTCTGGCTCGGGTATAGAGATATGACAGTCTGTTTATCATCAGAACC